ACACAATGACCAAATAGTGATTTGTTGGAAAAAAAATCAAATTTCCTTCTCTTAAATTGGGTTGAACTGAGTAGTTTTATGTTATTCATGTTTTACAGAGACTGAAACTAAGACTACAGATTATTGATTTCCACAGCCCAAAACATAAAAAAGATCCCCATTCTCCACTGTACTGTGCCTTATGTCTTCAAGCACCTGCAATCTGCCCTGAGTGGGTACTACATCTTCTCTAATAAATCTTCCTTATGCCTCTTTTATTAAAAATATACAGCATAGATGTGATCTATAAATTGTTTGACTATCTCTAATATTTGGTTAAAACATTTAAGAGGAAATGATGATGAAGAAATGGTCAGAGTGAATCATGAGGTTGGCAGTACAGGCTGAGATGAGCACCCAGGAGCTGGCCTGGGATCAGAAGCTCTGGAAGCCCTTCTTCTCTGAGCGTTCTATCTGAGTAAGGGCGCCAACTTCTGGAACTACTCAGTCCTTTCACTTGTTGCATAGGGATAATACTGTCCACTACACCTAACCTAAGTCTTCTGAAGATGACTCATTGGCTTAATTCAATGAATAGAGAGCTTTGTTCTAATAGTGTTTATGGACAGGATATCATGTCTGCATCTTGTACAATGAATAATCACTAAGACAACAATATCCAATGTATTAATTATTGTAACTGTGCTAGTAATCAGTTTTGAAACTGTCTCATAGCTATTTGTTTCTCAATAAAATTATTTTTTTTTAAAAAAGATGACTCATTGGGTACAACAGCACCTTCCACAAATAGCTCCTTGCTATACTTTATGATGAAAGGGGCTACTTGGTACCGTTGCTGGTAATTGGTGGAGAGCAGGCAAGTAAATGCTGTCACTCAGTCCTAAAACCCCTCCTTACCTGCAGCCCAGCCTAGCATCTAGAAATAGAAATAGAAATAGACTGTGGTGCTGCTGTTTCTGCGTCCCAAGTGTAGGGGTCACTACAGGACAGGATTACTGTCAATTATGAAGGGGAAAGGAGGCACACAAGGAAGAGGGTTGTGCACAGCCTGAGTCCCACTGGCAGTGGAACCCAGTTTGAAGGTCCCAGCTCCATCTGAATGTCTCCCTCTCCTGGGTGCCTGGACCATGCTCACCAGCAAACTCAAAGGGTTCAATTCTGACATTAAATCCATTGTATCAACAGAAATAACCAGTCTGCGCTGCTGACCACCCCTGATGCCACCCCTTTGCTGGGGCAGTCACCAGATTCCACCGTAAATCCTGCTTCCCTCCTCTCTTCCCGTGAGGGAAAAAACCCTTAAACATTATATCCTTATACAAGTAAAGACTTGCTATTTGTTTGGGAATTTTACCTCTAAATCTGCATTTCTGTTCGTCTCCCCCTGTACCTGTGGAGAAGTAGAAGTATGCCTGTCTGCTCAGCGGGTGAGCTGTACATCGCCTTCCGCCCCCATCCCTCCAACCTGCTGTACAAGTGCAGGACTGACGGCCCTGCCAGAGCAGCTGTCCCTGCAATCCGACAGCCTCTGCCCACTGAAACTCTGCCACCTTCCTTGGGTCACCACTGGCTTACAAAAGGTCTTTTTGCCCCCAGAGGGGAAGGAAGGGGTCAGGGCTCCAATTCTATTTGTCTTTGCACACCAGCTTCTCTTCATGACTTGCCTAGAGTACATGTGTCCAAGTTGAAGTTTGCTTGCTCCACTTTAGGGTTGATGGCTCAAAGCCAAAAGATCCCCTCTCCCCTAACGTTTGCCTCCTGGGCATTTGGCCTGGCTGGGGAGCAGCACTGTTCCCCATTTGTGGGCCCCTCATGATGCAGTGCTCCTCACATCACTACCCCAATATGAAGTATGCCGATCTTGAATGTAGGCACTGTCTCCTACAGTGTCCCTCCCCATCCGCAATGGGGACAAGGGCAGCTACAGTAAATTTAGTCAGCCCTTGGCCTCAGTGATCTCAGGAAAACTCTTGGGGCCAAACCCTGGGCATCTCACCCATACCCGCCCTACCCCACCCCACTGTGGTGAGAAAGTAGATTGGCCCCACCCAGGGGCTTCCTTTTTCAACACACTCAGAGCCAAACATGTCTTCCAGCAGCCTGCCAGGACCCTCAGCCACACTTCTAAGGACCCCACACACCATGACAACCCAGCTTAGGCATCACTTCTTCTCCCGGCTCAGCCCAGATCCTCTCTACTCAAGCACACTTGAGCCTTTAAGATGATTTTACCAAGAGGAACAACTTTTCCAATGCACATGATGGCCCCCTGCAATATTAAGAGTGGGTTCCCAGGCCTAGAGCAGCAGTGAGTTTCTCTTGGAGATCAACTGTGAGGCCGCTTTCTGACGGCTGGCACAGCACCAGGCCAAGAAGGAATCAGAAACTCCTGAGAAGCCAGCACATGAGATCTGACCAAAAAAAAAAAAAAAACCTTACTGTACAATTACTCACAGCTGGATTTGACTCAGGACACACACCCCCTGGCACATCTCCCAATTTATTTGTCGTCCGTGAGAGCCTCACAGTAGCTATTGGCAAAGGTCCCAAGGAAGGTGAAATCCTCCTGGAAGCTCACGTCGGAAGTTCCATCCATGTCCAGGCTATGCAGCAATCTTTGAATCTCAGCACTGGGCATCTCCTAAAGTGTTAGAATGGGAAGTACAGTCGGTGCTGAGGAGCCTCCTAGCTTCTCTCCTTCCTCTCTCCAGGGATCTGTATTCTCTCATTCAAGGGTTACAACCCCTCCCCCTGGTTTCACCTTGGCTTTACTCCCCGCCCCTGCTCCTCCTGGTGGAGAGCACCTCACCCCCTCCAAGCACTAGATGGGTCAGCCAGTGAATGAGCAAGTGGTGAGAGCAGGGCTGGGGCAAACTATTCACCGGGCCCAGGGAGGACTCTTTCTGGATCAGCTCCTTCAGCTCCTCTCTTGCTAGGGTGTTCCTGTCAGCATCCCTGCCAGAGTACTTGTCAAAGAGGGACTCTGGGGAGGGGGTTGTTTTTAATCTTTTTACGTATTTATTATTTGGTGCAGGATCTCCCCACACAGTTCACACTCATAGTGATCCTCCCCAGCACTGAGATTACAGGCACGCACCACCATGCCCAGTTTCGGTGGCTGACATGGTGCAGGGCTGGCATGGCACGCAGTACTAGGGATCAAACCCAGGTCCTTGAGCTTGCCAGGCAGGCGCTTAGACCACCAAGCTATCTCCCCAGATGTGTGGTGGCTCTGGGTGTGGTGAGAAGGGAAACCTACTCGAGGTTTTTGATGCCCTCATCTAGAGAGGATGTCATGGCTTCCAGCTGGGCTAGGAGCTGGAGACGGAGGGACTGATCAGAGTGTAGTCCCCAGGACTTCTTGCCACCACACCCCCTAGGAGCTCTGTCCTCACCACTTGCCACACTGTTTGATAGGGAGCAGGGTCCAGTGGACCAGAGCTTTGAAGAAGTGGATCAAAAGGCTCCAAAGAATCATTAGGGCAGACAGCTTTGAGCAGATTGAGTGCTGGCTTCCACGGGGAAGTTGGAGAATATGATGGAACAGGGGACAACACAGAGGTGGTACACCCAGAACATACCCTCCGGAACCCCAGAGAACACCAGGAGAGCCACCCAACTAGGATGCCCTCGTCTGGGGCCTGCCTTGTATGGCCCTCCATCCAGCCCTGGATCTCTTTTCTGTGTAGATCCAAAGCCTACCGCCAGGGGAGCCCCCAGCACGGGTCTGGTCAGGGCCGGGCGTCTGAACACCAAGCCAGCGAGCCATCGCAGGCAGAACTCACTTTACTAGTCAGCAGACAGCAGAGCGGGAGGAGATGGCAGAGGGATGGAGCGCTTGGCCCAACTGGCCTTATGAGGGGATCGGGGATCGTAAAGCGGGCTCGGGCGGGTCTCCACCAACACTGCCCGACCCCACCCCACCCCTCACACACAGGTGCCTCAGAACAACTGTCCATGCCCCTGTCCTGGCTGCTTCAGGCTAGGACTGGGATCAGGGAGTCCAGCCGCAGGCAGAGCCAGGGGACCTGGTGGACACCTCTGCAAACAGACTGCGTCCAATATTCCTGGTTTCCATGGTTAACTTTGTGCTTCTTGGCAGATACGGGGGCACCTTGAGGTAGCTGCAGTCACCTGCTTCTTCCTCAGCCCCCTTCCTGGCATAGCTTACAGCAGGGTCAGCATTGGAAAGTGGTGGGGATTTCATGGGACACTAGCACCGCTGTCCCACCCCTTAGCGGTGGACAGGAACAACTCCAGCAGAGGGACGGGAGAGCCCAGGAACTACAACGGTGTACCTAAGGAATCTGCATACCATGCCTGCCAGCCACGTGTTCCTCTCGCTCTCTCACCTGCCACCTGAATTCCACCTGGACAGCCCCTGAGCTCTCCCCTGCAACCATCGTTAGTCATTCACCCCTTAGTGAAAAGGTTTTCAGCCTGGGTCTCCTGAGAGACCCAGGGGGATAGAAAAGAAAATAGTGATATCCAGAGATTCTTGAGGATAGTGCCGGGGATGCTGGTGACCAGTAATGGAGGAGAGGCGAAGGGGGCTGCATGGAAGCCAGGCTACCCTGTGCCAGTTGCCTCTGTAAGCTTGGCCCAGGTCAGACCTATCCCCTGGGCTGCCCTGGCAGCCACACCCCATTCACCCTGCCTTTGCACTCTCAAAGCACTTCCTCGCTCCACTTTCTCTGCCTCTTTGCAACCCCTAGGAGGTGTGTGAAAACCTGGGCAGCTTCCCCACTGCCCAGCAGAGCAAAGAGGACCTGAAAGAAGGCTGGAATTGGGTAGGAGCCTGCAACATGTCTGCATGGAAGCCCCACCAGTGCCGAGGTGAGTGAGTCTCTCAGGACCAGCGGCCACCCGGGACTCAGAATGGAAACTCTTTATTTCCTCTCCTGGAAGGATCCATCAGAGAGAAGGGAGGGGGCTAAAGAGGGTCTGTGAGAGGAGCTACAGCAGTCAGGGGTGAGGGGCTGACAGGCAGGACAGAGGGCAGCGCCGGTCACTTGTTGTCCTCCAGGAAAAAGTCGTTGTATGCCATGCACAGCGTGGTCAGGAACACCGAGTACTCCTTGAAATCGATCTCCAGGTCGCTGTTCTTGTCCAGACTCTTCATCAGGTCACCAATGCTACTCTCCTTCATCTTCTGGGAGACCCAGCCTGGGAGTCAGCTCAGGAGCCCCTCAGGGCCCTGCTCCACCACCCAATGTTAGCCGTGCTGAGGGCGTCCCCCCGGTGAGCAACTCTACCTAGAGTCTGGTCCCAGGACACACCCGGCACAGAAGGACAGTGGGAAGGCCAGCCTAACCTCCCTTCCCGACAGCCTCCCCCAGCCAAAGGAATAATAATCTAGGGCTGCTTGAGAAGAGACCTAGACAATATATCTTTCCCTAAGAACTGAACTGGCACTCAACTACTCTGAATGATCCCCCTGCCCTGTCACCCTATCTGCACTAAGAGAATATAGAAAGGGCCTCATTAGGAAAAAGGGCCTCTTCGCTGTCCTCAGCTCAGAACTTCCTAGGATCCACAGTGTTGGGACACACAGGGATGGAAACTGTCTACATCAAGATCCCAGGCCTTCCCCTGTGTCCCTGTCCCCCAGTAATTAATCCCCAGGGGCTGGTGACCCCTCCTTCTGCCCTCACTAACTCCGGGAGCAAGGCAGGAAGTCCAAGACCAGTCCTTCTTCATCCCTGACTTCATCCCCTGCCCGTTGGAAGCACTCTGAGGACCTTCTCTCTCAGGGCCCACCAGGGTTCAAGATGTGCTGGAAAAGCACCCCCCACCAACTGTGAAGGAAAAAGGGAAGGAGCATGGGCCTGGAACTTGTCCCACTCAGCCTTTCAACGGACAAGCTCTCTAATGCATCTGAGCCTCAATTTTTTTAACTCTAAAAATGTCATATTTACATCTTGGGCCTTGCCCTCTATTAGTAACCTCCTCCCCTCCATCTCTATTTCCTGTGAATCCATTATGTCTTCTTTCTACCTTCTGTTCACAAATCAACCTTGTAGTTCACATGTCAACAGCATCTGAGGGGCTGTGGCCAAGCATATGGATGAGAACTAGGCAGGATCCCTACCCTTGAGTTATACAAAACTTGACCTGGACACCCCAGATCCCTTCACTGCCCGTGAGGTTCCTAGCACAGGTTCTGACACCACTATAACCCCTGGCCCAGCCACCAGCCTCCTTCCTCTGGTTCTATAGCCCCACACAAGCTGACACAAAACCCCAGACTCCTCAGTGAGACCCCAACTCAGCTCCAGAACCAAAGTCTAGAGCTCTGTTGACCTGAGATGTCCACCCTCTTCCTTCTGGACATAGCCTTCCACCAACCTGTTCCTACTTTAGAGTACCCTAGGATAGGAGTGTGTCCCCCTACAGGGACTTCATGAAAGAGATGAAGGAATGGTCACCTACCTCCCCAAGACTCAATTCCGTCTTTATCAGCTCCTTCAGTTCCTCCCTGCTCAGGGTCAGTTTGCTACCCTCTCTCCCTGAATATTTGTGAAAAGTGGTGACCATCGTGGTCAAAGCCTTCTCAAGAGGAGTCTCCATCACAGTGTCCAGCTCTGGAGTGGGTAAAGGACAACACAGTCGTCTTCAGGAAGCCAGTCCTTCTGCTCCCAGTCACAGTGATCTCACCTCAGCCCCTCCTTCCAAGGACTGGGACTAGAACCCATGGTATGGCCAAGCACATGGAGGAGAACCAGGCAGGTTCTAGTGAGACCAAGGCAGATGCTGATCAGCCAGCACAGCAAGATGCTCAGCCCTTAAAGAAGACTGCTTTGCTTAGGAGGGGTTGACAAAGGTGCCTAGAAGTGGAGTTTCCAGAATGACTCCCCAGAAAAGTGGTGGCAGATAGGGGAGAAGACATAGGGTCAGTATGTTCTCTCTGCCCCATCAAGCTTGACCACTGGTTTTCTAGAAGCTGTTCCCCCCTTAGTCATCCACTTTTCCTGAGGGCCCTATCAGCTAATATCAAGGAGAACCTTGAGTTCAGGGCTCAGAAGGAGATTGGAATTGGAATTGGGAGATAAGGACACAGCAATAAGGAGGACTTGGCAGCTAACCTCCAGTCAAGACCCACAGGCTGACTGGCCAGGGAGGCAGGGACCTCTGAGACCTGGATCCAGCACTGGGGTTTGAATGAGGGTCTCACTTCTATCAGCAGAGCCACCTAGACAGAGAAGAGGAAGCTACAGCTTGTGTGACTCAGACCTAAAAACCACATCTCTTTAGGGAAGGGTCAAAGCCACACCCACAGAACTTAAGCACTGTGGGTAGATCCTACAGGGAGTACAAAGCCAGGAGGAAAACAGTGCTGGCTCCCACCCCCAGCCTATAGCCCACCCCACAATTCTTCAACTGGGACATCATTTATCTCCTACCACCCACAATCCTCAGCTGCTCCCATCTCAAAGAAACTCAGCAGGACCACAAGCCACAGCAAGGGCCTCTGGGTATCTGCAGGAGCACCTTGACCTGTTCTGTCCCATCTCCTCTGAGAGCCTCTTAGCAAGAAATTCTTATGGTCACATTCCCAAACTGCTCCTTCTTCCCTGAGCACACACCCACTTGCAGGGCTGGGCCTTCTTTGTGGAGGTGACTGTGGCTTGTCACCCTCTGGCCTCCTCAGCCTGTATGGCCCAGCAGAGGTAAACAGAGAGATCTGAAGAAAGGACTCACCAAGAAGGGAGCAAACCCAAAGAATTCAAGCAGAAGCAAAAGCCTCCCACCCACTGCTCTCTGCCTTTATTCCCTTGCTCCCAGGGCTCAGGAGATCAGGGAGAGACAGGACCAATGAGAAGGGGTCAGGGACATGAGGACGCCCAGCAGAGCCTCCTGAGGCAGGCAGGAGAGAAACCTCCTGCCACCTTCACCATCCTTGTTTACAAACAAGGGCAGGAAACACACTGAGTTCACCATGGTACACATGTCTTCAGCTCCAGAAACTTCATTTACCAATCAAAACTCAGAATTCGCCATGTGATGGAACAGTAGGTGGAAGAGGGGAGGAGCACGTGGGCCACACTGAGGGGCCCTCCCCACATATGAGGCCACTCTGCCCCTTGAGACCCTACCACCAACTCCAGCAAATCTCTATCAATCAGTAGAAGAGAATGTTTCCTTCCAAGGACACGGTCAAGCTCATTAGCTGCTATGAAGCCAAAGGCTTTTTAAGTGCTTTTAAAGTTATGGAGGTTTTTTGGCTTGGTTTTTTGATGTTGTTGGTTTTGGTTTTGGTTTGTTTTTTGAGAGCGGGTCTCCCTAGGTAGTTTAAGCTAACCCACTATGGATTCACTATGAAGCCCAGGCTGGCCTTGAACTCACAGTGAACCTCCAGGCTCCCGAGGGCTGGAATTACAGACATGCATCACCATTCTTCTAAACCTTCATAGGAAAGCATTGCCTGAGTCTCTTGACAAAGTGAGGACTGAGAATCAGCAACTGGAGAAGATTCCAGGGAGTCTTCTCCAGGGAGGTCGGATGGATTAGGGCACGTTCAGAATGCACACAATGAAATAAGTGTCAAGGAGAGTTCCCCATATTCCAGACACTGCTCCATCACCAAGACCAAGTATGAAGACAGAACTGGGCTAGAGACTGAGTACCCATCCCAGCTGCAGTTCCACCCTAGCCTGTCCGGATCCTCCTCTCTGCCCCCTATGCTACCCCTACACCCAGCTGAAACACTGGTAGCAGGCAACAGGGACTTGTTGCTAAGTAACAGGAGTTTCCAATAGAGAGTGATGCAGGATGAGCCTCGGGGGAGGGCACTCCCATGGAAGATGGGCAGACTAACTGGGAGTGAGAAGGGGAACAGCAAACTTTTCCTACACCAAGATCTCTAGAGTCCAACTCCAGGGGAACATCTGAGTCACTTACCCTACTCCTCTGAGGCTGGACAGAAAAGTTCTGAGTAATGAGAAGGGCAGCTTGAGAGGTCAAGGGAACCAAGACTTCCAGCTCCAGGCTGGGCATCTATGCACCCCTTCCTTAAAAGTCTCCATATCTGCCAGGCATGGCCTTCAACTCTGGAGCCCCAATTTAACCTGTTCTAAGTGAAAGCAGCATCACACTTCGTATGTTCAGCACAGAGGATTTCTATATCACTTCACAGATCATGTGTCTGGAATTTTGTCTCTAAATCAATTGTCATCATCTTCCTTGATCCCACCAGGCATTGTCCTTCACTCTTGGAAGGAGTTCCTCTGAAAGAACAAAATTCCTCATAACAGATATCATCTCAGGGCCCATGGACAGAGAAAATAAGTACCTCATGCTGCTGCAAAAGATCCCCCTCCCATGGCTATCCCTGAGCCAGCCGTGGGCAGGAAGAGGTTACTCCATCCCTGTGGAATGAAGCTAGTGAACTGGAAGGGGTAGCAGGTCAGGGCCTGGACTAGAAATGTCAGAACTGAGTGACAAGCCTACTCCCCAGCCCACACTGGCCCCACCAAACCATCCTCCGCGTGACTTAGCCCTATTGTCTTCCCTCCAAACCCCAACCAAAAGCAGATGTGACCTTCAATGCTGTTCCAGCCTCAGTTTGAGGTCCTGCCAGAGACAGGATTGGAGGGAGGTGGGAGAGGTAGTGCGCTGGCGAACATCCCACAGCCGGGGCTTTCCAAGCTCCGGGTGATCCCTTTTATTGTCTCTATCCCCACCAGAGTCCAATCTCTCTCTCTCTCTCTCTCTCTCTCTCTCTCTCTCTCTCTCTCTCTCTCTCTCTCTTTCTCTCATACACACACACACTCAACTCCAGGTGTTCCCCACCATCAACCCGTGACACATTCCTCAGCCCCAACACACTTTTCCAGGGTCTGTGCGCCCACCAGCCTAGTAGCTTCCAAAACTTTATTGAATTTGCTCAGCATCACGTACACATCTACAAAAGCCACAGTGAGGCACCGCACTCACTGTCACCTGGGAGGACCCCAGCCACAGACCCACTCCCACCCCATTGAATGCCAGGAGCCTTCACTTCTTCCGGGGCTGCTTATCTGGGAAGCCTTCGAAGAACTCATTGCACATCATAGCGATGCAGGACAGAAAGACGCAGTACTCCTGGAAGTCCACCTCATTGTCCCGGTTGTTGTCCAGGTTGCTCATCAGCTTCTGGAATGCAGCCTCATCCGTCCTTTTCTGGAGAGAAAAAAAGCTACAGGTAGAACACAGAAGCCAAGAAGGGGTGGGGAGCCACAGCTGAGACTGCACTGGGTTTCTGCCTCTAGACTAGAGCTTAAGAAGCCAAGTGGCTTTAGAGTTCTGAGCCGAAAGACTAACGGTGGAGAGTCTGGCTGCCCAGATAGCTCAGCAGATTAAAGCACCTGCTTAGGCAGGCTCAGAACCCGGGATTTGAGGTTTGATCCCTGGCGTGTAGTGCCAGCCCCGCCTCCAGGGCACACTGAGATGGTCACTGAGACTGGGTGTGGTGGCACATGCCTGTAATCCTAGCTCTTGGGAGGCTGAAAACAGGAGAATTACTACGAGTCTGATCTGTGTAGTGAGACTCTGCAGACTCTGTACTAAAATACAAAAAAAAAAAAAAAAAAGTAAGAGTAGAGAAAGTTCCTCCCTGGATGAAGAATTCTGAGTACCTAGTGGCACTGAGAAATGATGGAACCACATCTTCACCCACGTTTGTTTTAATTATCCAATTAAGTGAAGGTCATGAAAACAAGGCATTAACAGCTGTAAGATGTGAGCGTTGGGGCAGGTGGAGGGTGTAGGTGTGTATATGTCTTCATAGTTGCGCCTTCACACACAGAAGAAAGCCAAAGACTGCCCATTGTAGGGCCGAGGTGAAACCAATCTGGGTCACAGTGTGTTTTGTGGTGTGAGGATTGAGCCAGGGTGTCACAGATGTTAGGCAAGTCCTTTATCTGCCGCCGGGCTCCACCCAATTTGTACACTGACGACCTCCGGAAGTTACTCAGCTCTCTGAACTTTAATGTTCTCTTCAATTAAGTTGTGCAAAGCACCCAGCAGAGCCCCTAGCCTATGACAATTCATTCTTAACCCTGCTGGGGACCATGAGTGGTGAGTGTCCCCAGGGTTCCACAGCAAGCAGCCCGATCGCTCTCTAACCCCATCTCCTGGCCTCAGCGATAGCTCCAACTGCACGTAGGCTCTGCACAGAAGTGAGTGCCCCTGCCCAGGCCCCTGCCCTCTTCCTGTGCTCGGCTGCACAGAGAGAACCACGCCCAGGCAGAAACCACTCACCCCCAGGAAGCTGGGCATCTCTCGGGTCAGCAGCTCCTTCAGCTCTGACTTGTTGAGCTTGAACTTGTCACCTTCTTTACCAGAGTACTTGTGGAAGGTGGACACCATCACATCCAGAGCATTCTCCAGAGGAAGAGCCATGGCAGTCTCGGACCTGGGGGTAGCAAGCACTGAGGCACCCCATCCCCAGCAATGAGTTCAGAGTGACCCACACCACTCCTGCACCCCATCCCACCCCAGAAAAGTGAGTCCAGCCCTTGGCAGGAGGGATACACTGTAGGAAATGCGGGCTGCACGCAGCAAACATTTGCAAGCCCTCCTGCACAGGCCCTGGAGATCTGGGCTGCCAGTTCCTGGGCCTCCCTCAGGCCTCCCCTCAACAACAGCATTTTTCCATCCTCACTAAGTCCAACCACTCCCACAGACCAGCCACAAGCTCTCAGCCCTGCCCTCACCCATTCTTCTCCCTCCCAGTGCAGGGCGAGGCTGCTGGAGGGCTGCCCAGAGCCCTGCAGCAGGAGAAAAACACAGCCACCAAAGTGTGAAGGGAAGATGGAGAGGCCAGGCTCTCTTGGGCTAGGCACAGGGTAGCGGGCCGAGGCTCCTAGGGCTCGCCCAGCCAGAAGCCCACCGGGGCTTTCCCTTTGCTTCCTGTACTCAAGTATGCACGCATGAACCTGTGTGCATCCAGCAAACACAAGCCAGGGTGCCTGCCACAATCACACACACTACAGCAGCTTATGTAAATACAGCATCCTGGGAGCTCCTGTAGGGCTCAGATCCAGCCACCTGCACACTCTGCACACCTTTCTGCTTTGCATTTTCCTACACACACACACACACACACACACACACACACACTTCCCAGAACCTCCACACCAGTCCCACATTTGGGTCTCTTTAGCACATCTGGCCCCCACAGCCTCCCCTTCTGCTATGCCCACCTGGGCTCTGATGCCCCTGCACAACTCACCAGACCAAGAGAGGAAGTGCTGAGTGGAGAGGTTTGGGGAGAGCCCAGCAATCTGACCTATTTATACCCAGTGAGGCCCTGCCCATGAGGGGATGGGGAAGAGCGGACACTGCCCTCCTGCTGTAGGCTGATGTGGTAAGAGCCACAGCCCGAGCCACCGCCCACCCCCCTCCAGCCCAGTCTGGGAATTAAGGCTCCTATTCCCAAGCAGACATAGACTGTGGGTGAACACTGTGGACATCACCAGGAACTGCGATGGGGTGGGCACCACTCAGAGTCCACAAATGAACAGAAGTTTAGGGAGCTAGAGGAAAGGGCAGTCGGAGGGGGAGGAGTAGGGACCAGGGGAGGAGTAGTCCCACCAGGCAGATAACAAAGCAAGTGCAGGGTGGTAGATGATGGGTAAGAAAATGCCCCAGAAAAGCAGCTGCTCAAGTGCTGGAGAGAAGAGCCCAGGCCTGCGCGATGGCACAGCTCAGTCAGCCCTTCTCCCCTCCCCAGAGGGTTCTCTTGCATGCCCAGTAAGGCCTGGAGTGCAGACTGGGGTCACTAGTGTTGTGGGCAGCTGAGTTAGACAGAAATATCAAAAGCCAAAGGGCTGGGCCCTCGAAGGAGCCAGTATAGAAGGCCTTGCAAAGGTGGGAGAGACAGGCACTTCTGCTGTGGGCCCGAGCTCAAGAGAGAAGATGACATAAATGTGCCCACAGCCCTCCCTAGGGAAGGGCATCAGGGCTTGGCATTCTAAACAGGTATCAATCACTTTGAAAAAGCCAGGAAGAGTCACTAACCCAACCACCTGTAGGAAAGACCCTGTTCTGAATTCATGTCTGCTTGCTATCTGACTCGCTTCCCCATTTGGTCCCAATTTAATCTATTTTCCTTTTACTTGTAATCTTATTGGTTGACCATAGTTTTGTCCCTCCTCATGCCCACCTTGCTATTTCCCATCTCTCTCTCTCTCTCTCTCTCTCTCTCTCTCTCTCTCTCTCTCTCTCTCTCTCTCTCTCT